TTATTTTCTTTTTCTACTCTTTTTATAAAATTATGAATATTATTATGAATAAATGAGTCATCTGTTATTAAACTTTGAATAAGTAACTATGCAATATATTCCGAAAATATATATTAAAGAATAAAGTTTTTTTTCTAAATATGCATTTATTGCAATGAAAAGAAAACCAATTTTTCAATTTTAAATGAAAATTATGTCACTTTTTTTTCTTTTCATTAAATTATTACTTTTAAAACGAGTGAAAAAATTGTTTATAAGTAGAAAAATAGGAAAACTTAAAATTTTCAAATTATCGTGTGTAAAAATTAAAATTAAATTTTCTTATTAATTAGTAGTAATAATAATTTATTAGTTTTATCCTTTTTTCACTTCATTATTTTTTCTTCATATTTTTTGAAATGAGTCATTTAAAATGAAAAAGAAATTAATAAAAATATATAAATTAGTAATTGTAGAATGCTGTTAACTAAACGCATAAACGCAAATTATAGTTTGCAACGTCGGTGTTACATTAATGTAAAATTAACGAAATTATTGAATTATTATATTTCAAATTAAACGATGATGTTTGTTTCAAACTATTTTGCACATCATAATATCATTAAGCTCAAAACTATTTGAATTTTCAATTTTAAAGTAAGGGGAAAACAGTTTAAAATATTTTATTTCAATGTATTTTAATTAATGTATAAAGGCCTAAAAATTTGTGAACTTTCCTTTTATCTGAAAAAGTATATGATTGCCAAATGCGAAGAAAACATAATTTTAACATAGTTCTTGTTGAAAAATAAGGCTGGTTTTCTATTACTATAAGAGTATGAAAAAGCTGCTTTAAATATTCTACTTTGGCAAAACTCATCATCAGTATCTCCTCAAAGGAAAGCTTTCACCCATTCTGGGCAAGACAGCCCATTGTGGGCCTTTCTTTCAAGAGAGATTCAAGCAACCCCCGGCCCCTCTCTTCCGTTCCTTTGGAATTCTAAAATCTATCTCAACTGCTTCTTTCTATTCTTGTCTTTGTTGATCTATTTTTCTTTGTCCCGTCGCTTTTGCAGAAAGCAAAGTGACAAAAAATGTTTTATTTTCCTTTTCTTCCCTTCTTTTATTTGTCCCTTTGCTTTTTTTACAGAGTTTAAATTTCAGTTTGAGTAAAAAAGTATATGCTTAAAAATGTTGAATGTTTCAAGTTTAAATTAGAAACAAAATAGTTTAATGCTAAACGTGAAAGCTGATTTTAACATGCTCCTTGCAGATGATTCGAAGATAAATTATCTAATATTTTAAAGTTAGGAAAAAATAGACTATATTCCACGTTTCTAAGTTTAAGTAATTGAAAAAATGTATGTAAAAAAATCTATCTGGAAGCTTCACGTTTATATCACATGAAAAGTAAATGTAAGGATTTATTTATATTCGCAAAAGCATAGCACAAAACGTGAACACATTAAGATAACTCGACGTTTATGAAAACACAGCGTTATTTTATAACCATCAAATGAAACTTCAGTGCCAGGTTTTCGCACGCGTGATTTGGTAATTTCCCATTCTCTGAAGCCCCATAAATTGTAATTTCTAATTTCATTAGAATTTTCTGGACTTTAACTGGGTTCAATCACTCTTAGAGGAACCGTTATGTCTCAGGGGACTTAATTCCGATTAATTAATCTGATTCATCATGTGGATTATATTATTAATTCTCACCATAGTGGCTCATTAACACGAGTTATACAAATTATAGAAGCCTGGTGGCTCAGGGGGATAGAGCATTCGCTTTCAAATGAGGTGATCCGGATTCGAATCTCAATGATGGTTGGTTGATGCGAATTCCGTATCCGGCTTGCACCGACTACCTCAGTGGTAAACGGATCATGGGTTAGAGTCCTCTTGCTCTCATACTAATGTGGGAGGTTTTAGTGGTTTTCTTCTCCATGCAACGCAAATGCGGGGTAGTTCCATCAGAAAACTCCTCCACGGAGGCAAATTTCTCCCATTTCTTTATCCAGGAGTTCTCTTGTCTTCTGGATAAGGTTTAAAGTTACAAAGTTACGGAAATGAACATTAGTTGTCGGAAACCCAAAACACTGGGTCGGCTGTTCAACGACGGTTATAAAATTATAAAGTAAAATAAAATATAAACATCACTCATAGAGAGGTCAAGTCACGGTTTATATAAAAACAATCGCTTCTTCTTCAATTCTTTTAAGTTTTTATTTTATTTACCAGTGCTTGGGAACTAAAATTGACCTCTAAATTACTCTCCTTGTACTTTCTACCCGTTTTTTAAAGATTATGAATGTTTTTTTTGTCAACTAGCAGTCAACAGTTGATTGTGAAATATGTTTTTTCCTTTTTGTTTATGTTTTATAATTTCTTTGATCTTTTTAAAAATTTGATTTTTTACATTATATTTTTTATTTTTTAAGCAAATGTGCTCATGAAATATTACTTAAAATTATATTTCAAAAATTTAACTTGTCTAGTTTTTAACTTTTTAAATTTATTTTGATAATTTAATTACTGTAAATTTACTAAGACTAAAAGAAAAGTTAATTAAAATTAATGAAACTTTTTGTTCATATTATAGTAAAAATTAGTTTAAAACAATAAATTCATTTGTCCAAATAAATGTAAAAATTAATTAAAGTTAAGTTAATCGGAAAACGTAAAGACAAATTTAAATTACTGTAAAAATTACTGTACAAAGTACCTACTACGAAATACTGTCACAAAGAAAATAAGACGGATATATAAGAGACTGTTTTTATTTAAAATTTGAAGCATGCTAGATTATAGATTTTTCCTTAATTGTCTTTTTCTTCTGGTGAAAATTTTCATTTTGTATTAATTTAAATGTGATCCATTATCTTAAAACTTTAATGAAATGCACCTTTAAAATTTAGATTACTTTTAGTGTTGTTCTATATTAATATTTTAGCATAAAAGTTTCGTAATTTGGTGTATTTTTATTTTTTTAGTATATGTAATCTTACATTTTTTCTAAAAATTCGATAATTTTCAATAAAATCAAACAGCTTATAGTTGTTTCTTTTTGTGGTAAAAATCGTAATTTTGCATTCATTTAAATGATCCATTATCTCGAAACTTATATAAAATGCATATTTCAAATTTAGATAACATGTAGTTTTGTTTTACATTAACATTTTAACATAAACTTCTTGTAATTTCTTGCATTTTTATCTTTTTATTAGTACGAATAATCTTACATTTTTTTCTAAAAATTCGATAATTATCAATAAGATCAAACAGTTTATATATTTGATTTAAAAAAAATCTAGTATTGAAAATATAAATCCCCTATATGCAAGAAAATTGTGAATAACTTAAGACGTTTTCAAAGGTTTATGAATATATTACTCTTAATATTGATAAAATACACGTACCTTAACCCTTACAGAGGGATTCTATATTGTACTTACACGGATAAAAATACACTCACTTTGATAAAAATAAATTCACACTGATAAAAACTATTCCATTTAGTTTTGATTATAACAGAGACTTCTACAATAGTAATACTTTTTATCTCTTAAACAAATCACTGTTGGAAATTTCTCAGAAAAAATTGATAAACAACAACTTTTTTTTTTCTATATTCACTTTATTTTTCTATATTCAACTAGTCACACAGCCAATGAGAATTGAGCTCACGTTCTTTAAGAGCAGGAAGCTTACGCATGTGATAAGGATTACGAATTTTATATATGTTTTCATCATCAGAAATCGAACACAACACTGGATGCCCAATCATCCTATAGTAATTAATGCGTGGTGTACACCTTATAAAGCCACTCAGCTAGTTACATACTATAGCCGAGACGTCTAATCTGTCGATTTAACGACCGGCTAAATGGGGGTTCGAGTCCCAACATTGGCACACCACAATATTTCCTCCATTCCTTCAACGCAAGAAGAGTTTCCAGTGTCTTACACTTCTCAATAAGTGATCTATGCTTGAATGCGAAACCCTGATTCAAGCATCGATGACAGCACCATTGAGCTGCTCAACTCAAGTTTAATATTTCCCAATTCTCACGATGAATTGTGCCACTAGATAAACTAAGTAAACCACATTCTATGGTTCACTCAAAAAATGCAACTCAACTACAACTTAACTCCAATGTTCATTACCTAACGAAATATATAACAGTCTATAATGAACTAGTTTATGATAGACTGAAAGTCTATAATAAATTTCAGTTTTATGGTTTTGAAACTATGCTTGTCCTGAATGGTTACAAAACCGCGCACTTTTGTATTTACGGTTTTTATAACGGAACCATACCAATTGTAAATGGTTTTAAAGGTAAAAAAAATGTTCCTAACCGTAAATTTTATGGTTAATTGGATAGACACACTGCTGGCGTTTACTATGGTATTTGTATTGGTTTTTCGTGACTAAAATTCTCTGACTCGCAAAGGCTTAAAGAGCTTCTTTCAAATTCATTTAAAAACTAGATTTTAAAACAAGTGAATATAAAATGTTTGATATACATGAGTTATTGCAAATGACCGAAATTGGTGGTTGTTGACTTCTACCGGTGAATGTTGACAATCACATAGTCGCTTTGGTAAAATATATGAAATATATGCTAGGTCTGATTGAGTGCCACTACCCAGTATACCGTATACTGATGTTTTTAAGGGTTCAGTGCCCAGTATACATTTGCCAGGTACTCCGAACACTGATGTTTCTCCTAATCCATCCTCAGAAGATATTAAAATATCGAATAAATTTAGTAATATCAACGAATAAATTAATATCGAATCGGATATAACAAATATTTCGGACATTTACCAAAGTGACCATGTGATTGTTGACATTCACTGGTGAAGGTCGACATTCTCTTGATATCGGTCATTCACGGTAACACACGTATGACTTTTTGTTAACCACATCTGCATTAACTGTAAAATAATATGTTGTGCGTTTATTTGAGAGTTGGTAAACAAAAGATATAAATATGCGTTTTTTTCTTTAGGTGTTTATTGTGTTTTGTGTTTGCATTTATGTGGTTAAGGGAGTTTCCATACGTAAAGAACTCAGGAAATTGTGTGGAGATGAATTACCCGCTGCTGTTGCATTATTATGTAGAGGTAATTTTTTTATAATGAATCTTTAGCTAGTAGAACACAAGTAATGTTAAGAGTCCAAGTATTTAAATTTAATTATATAGTATTAAGTTTTTATAAAGTGCATTCATTGTAAGGAAAATAAATTGTTTCGAAATTTGTTAAAGCAGTTTAGTGATAATTAGTTTGTGCTTTCTTTAGAGAAGCTCCAGACGTTCAATTAAAGCTTTATATTTTTAAAAAAAATATTCGTCATTTTATAAAAGAGAAAATATTTCACATATTCATAAGAGCGTTTAAATTATTACACTTCTACAATCAAGCTGAAATCTTGCATTCACATATCTGAAACGTGATTTTGAAACAATAGAAATTCTGAAATGAAACTTTTGGAAAATGTCTCAAATCTTGCAAAATGCAAAATGGAAAAGTTAAAATTCACACTGCATTAGAATAAATAAATGCCGGTAAACAAAAACACTAGAAGTTTCCTAGTGCGTTAAATTTTGATATCATGAGCATTTAATGTATCAGTAGATTGTTTCATTTTTCCTATTGATTCTAATGTACGTATCAGGTATATAAATCCAAGGTTCCAGTATGGTTCAAACATACTCATCAGCTATATAAATGCAAGATTCCAGTATGGTTCAACTATACGCAGCAGCCATATAAATGCAAGGTTCCTGTATGGTTCAAATAAACGTATCAGCTATATGAATGCAAGATTCCAGTATATTTCAAATATACGTATCAGTCATATAAATGCAAGGTTTTAGCATGGTCCAATTAAACGCAAAGTTTCAGTACTGTTCAAATATACGTATCAGGTATATAAATTCAAATTTCCAGTATGGTTTAAGTATACGTATCAGCTATATAAATGCAAGATTCCGGTATAGTTCAAATAATAGTATCAGATATATAAATGCAAGGTTTCAGTATGGTTCAAATATTGCATCAGGTATACAAACGCAAAGTTCCAGTAACGATAAAGACCACATCAAAATTTTAAGGAAAAAAAAACTATTCTGAAAACTATTAAAAAATATTTTTTACTCTCTTTGACTCTCTCTTATTGAAATTATGTACTTTCAAAGAAATACTCATTATTGATGAAAGTATAATTTTGATCTTATTTTATTTGATTAAAACATATAGTATATTTCTTAAAATTTAATTTTTATTATAAATTATTATTTTTCTTAAAATTAATAGTAATCAATAGTTTTTTTTTTTAAAAAAAAATTAATAGTATTGTTTCCAAAAGTTAGGCAATCTAGAAATTTCCTGGGAAATTCATTTTCCCAGGAAATCATTCTTTTTACGAAAAATAAAGAATTTACAAAATAGATAACCTTATTCTAATATTATTAATTATAATAGTGCTCATTATTAAATGTTAGTTCATTTCAGAATGTACAGAGACCTCAGCATTTTTTTCGAAATCATCCTTTACATGGAAATAATTTTAATATTTGACTGAGTAGATTATTATTTTGTTCCAAAGACGACGATAAAACATTTTTAAATTTAAAAATGATCATTCACCTTTGAAATCTGCCGTCATACAAAATGTTCTTTAGATGAAAATATATGTTTTTTGTATGTTTTTGGTCGAAAAGAACGAATTTGCGATTATTCTTTGCTTATCAAGCATCGCTTGTCCAATAATCTGCTCTTAAACTTGGTGACTTAAGTCAGGGGAGTCATCGCCAATTTGGTTAAACAAAAGCCAAGATTTTGATGATTTTAGTCTCTTTGTCAACATGTTTTGAGGATAGAAGCATTATCTACTTTCCCGAAGTTTTGAGGCTCTAGGTAGGTGCATCAGGGAGCGAGATACCTGATAGTCACTAGAAGTTTAGTGACTTTTTCGGTGACTTTCCTTCTGGAGAAAACGGTATGGTACGTGGTGGACCATTTTTGGTTTTGTTATTTGAATCAAGTACATTTTTATCACAGAGAATCACATAGCTTCAGCTAATGGACGAAAAAAACCCCACTCAAATTCGTTGTAAATGTTATTGCTTTATGCTTACAGCCGATCACAACATACCTAAGAAATCATATGTTTACATTTAAATTTGCTTTTAGACTCAAATATATTTTTTCACTGCAATTTTCAATTATTGATACGATCAAATAAACAGTGCATGTTTCCTTAAATACAAATAAAATAATTTGATAAGATAAAGACGTTTCCAAGAGAGAAAGTGTTGAGAAATGAAATCAAAAATATGCTTTAATGATGTTTTGTTATGGTTTAATTGCAGAAAGAAAAAAACTCAAGTGTGATTTATTAAAAATATTGTTGAATAGTTTTTTTGTATCATAGTTTTTTTGTTGAAACAAGTACTGTTTTATCATAGAGAATCACATAGCTTCAGATAATGGACGGAGAAAAAAAAACACTTAAATTCCTTGTAAATGTTATTGTTTTATGCTTGCAGTCGACCATAACATGTCTAAGAAATGATATGTTTGCATTTTAAATATACTTTTAAACTCAAAATATTTTTTCACAGCGATTTTCAATTATTGAGAAGATTAAAAAAAAAGAGCACATATTTTCTTAAATGCAAATACAATAATTTGAGAAGGTAAAGACGTTTATTAACTTTATTCATTGAGTAAGTGTTGAGAAATAAATGAAAATTATGTTTTAATAATGTTAAGGTTTAATCGTATTATGTGAAAAAATCAATTGTGATTTATTAAAAATATTGTTGAATAGTTTCTTTTGCATTTGTTAATTGTAAATGATTTTGTTTGAAGGATCGACCGTCAATGACTCATTAATTAGAGAAATGAAGGTATCGAAAGAAGTAGCGGAAGAGTGCTGTGAAAAGGCGTGCAATACAGAAAGACTCAGATCATTTTGTGAACAGGAAACGTAGAACATATACTTCATATGTAATTCATTGTACATATTTTATCTAATTTAGAATTTAATAAATTTTTAAGCGAATAAATAAAATAATATATTTATAGCTGCTGTTTGATATTTTAAGTCGAATATTGGTAACACCAAAAATATGTTCAGATTCATAAATGTATAAATTTTTTTTTGTCACGTTTGAGATGGTTAGATTACAAGTTGACTCGATCTGTTTTCTGAAAGCTTTCACGTGAGACAGGAAACATATTTCTTTTATACATTTGAACTATAGTAAATGTTCTTAGAGGCTTTGATACGAACAGAGATATAAAATGTTATTATCGTCAAAACATTTTTAGTTCTCAAATACAGTTTTGGGGTTTAGCTTGTTTTGACAAAAAATGAGTTTTTTGTTTATTTCGCTGATTTTAGTAGGAAAACAAAATGCGTGCTTTTTTTACAGTTGAGTTGCATACCTTAAAAAATTATAATTTCACATAAAAGATTATTTTTTTAATTAATAAAAAGAAAATGAAAAACGGGTGTTCATTAAAATTTTTCTGAGAAGACATTTTAAGTATTTATATGTGTTAATAATAATAATATATACATTTAAAAATAAAAAAATCTGATTTCGGAAAAACTATGCAAATTTAAAAATGTCTGAAGTAACTACTACAAAACATGAAAACAAACATAATTACCTTTTTCATTTTACCAAGCATAGTGATAACATTTGATATTTGTAGATAAAATGCCTTTCAAATTAGTGATAAATTGCTAAAGCTAGTAATTATTGTAAATAATCAAATTTTTTTTCACGTCAATGATGAATTCTTAAATCGTTTTTCATTTAATGACTGTTTCATTTAAGTTATTTTACATTTTGAATAGAAATAGATGTATTTATTCTTCGCAAAAGAATTTAATTGGTTTCATTTTAAATCTTTATGCATTTTTTAAACATTATTTAATGATACGAAAATATAATTGTTTGAAAAAATAAAAATAAAATGTACTAGTTTTTTCATTTTCTTTTCAAGTTAATAAATTCGGTAATGAAACGTAAATTAATGAATGTTTTCACTTACTAAAACGTAATACACCTTACCATCCTTTTTATTTTAAGCAAATTTCATAATTAGAACAAAATTTTTTAAAATAAGCTATAAATTGCTTCTTTATTAAGCAAGTTTCATTAACAAAACAATGAGTTTTAAAAACGGAAACTAAATATCGTTCGCATTTAAAAACATTTAATCAATAAAAAAAACAACTTTAAAGTAGAAACTAAAAATCGTTTGCATTTTAAACAAATTTATTCAACAAAACAAAAAACTTTAAGTTTTCACTTCTGAGTGAAAATTATTTAAATTTTGCCTTCAAAGTAAATGAAATAAAAAAGATTTTGAAACTTGTAATTGAATGTTATTAATATGAAAATAATTGTTTTAAAAAAGTGGAATATTGTTTGAAAAATTAATGTAAATAACTGGATAAAATACTCTATTAATAAGAAAAAAATCTTTCTACGATTTTATTTAATCGCCATCAAAACTCAAGTGATTTACTCGTCCTTGAACTATCAATCTGTATAAAATATTCATTTCGGTATTTGTCAACCTTTTTCTGAAGTGTTTTGTCATTCAAAACATCGCCAAACGAAGCATAAAATGTTTTTAGAAAACGGAATATCTGCATAATTTATTTATTTTTTTAAATTTATTTATTTTTATTTTGTATAAAGAAAGAGGCTAAAAATTTTAAGACTACTTACCCAAATTGCTCATGCATCGTGATTGTTCATACAAATAATATTTTAAGTTTAGAACACTGTTACCTTGAAGAGATTGAATTACTATTTCATAATTATTATTAAAAAAGAGACATTTAGTGAATACTTAAAATAAAAGGTATTGTAGATAGCATAAAGCACTGAAAATATTGAATTAATATTACTATACTTGAAATTTTAACAACAACGTAGTTGTTGTTAACATTTCAACAGTGATGCAAACGTAGAATTAAGATAATTTAAGTAAATAAATCAACCAGTTCAAAAGTGCTTGTACAGAAAGCTCATAATAAGGTTCATGATGCAATATCTTATGGTATGCCCAACCTCCCCTTAAAGTTTGTACCAATATTTATACGACATCAAATTTAGAGCTACAATTTTGTTTCTTAAATTTATTTTAACTAAAAAAAGGGAAATTTTAATTATCCTAGCTTTTGTTTGTATTCGTATCTTGATTTTGAAGTCGGTCTAATAGCGGTTTTTACATTTGAAAATATTGCATGAATATAAATTTTTCAGAAAGTCAATTGACTGAAAGTAAAACGTTAAAAACGAAGTTTATAATTTTTTTTATATTTAAAATGTCTAAAAGCACTTCGATACCAGGAAGAAAACATTTCCGGAAATATTGTTGTTATTATTAGGTGAAATAACGTATGACATTAATAAAAACGTAGAATTACTGTCTTAAAAAATAAGGTATTGTACCAAAAGGCAACAGACTGTGGTTTAATGCTTAATGTAAAGGAAAATTGCTCTTTAAAATGACTATTAATTTCAGCAAATGTTGAATAACTAATAACATAAAAGCCTACATCGCTGAAAAGCTAAGCTATTTTTCAATTCACCATGTTTGGTCTTGTAGAATTGAGTTTTTATGTCAAATACAGTTAGCCACGGCTTAACTCGAAAAAATGTTCATATATTATTTAAATAGTACCTAATTTAAAAATGTTTGCATTTAAATAATGAAAAAATGTAATTCATTACATTGCTTAACTTAACAAAAAAGTTCATAGATTATTTAAATTGTTCCTAATTTCAAATTGTCTGTATTTAAACAATAAAAATGCAATTAATGTTTAACCTGAAAAAAGTTTATATACTAAAATAGTTACTTACGTAAAAATGTCTGTATTTAAGTAATGAAGGTGCAATGAATGCTAATGTTTAACCTGAAAAAGTTCATATATTAAAATAGTTCCTGATTTAAAAATGTTTGTATTTAAGTAATAAAAAGGCAATTAATGCCATTATTTAACCAGAAAAACAATTAATATATTATTTAAATAGTTACAAGTTTAAATATGTCCATGTTTCAATAATAAAAATGCAATTAATTATATTAAATTGATAAACAGCTCATAAATTTAAATAGTTACTAATTTAAAAATGTCTGTATTTAAATAATAAAAAATGCAATTAATGGTCATTGTTTAACCTGAAAAAAAGTTCATATATTAAAATAGTTACTAATTTAATAATGCCTGTATTTAAACAATAAAAATGTAATCAATGCTATTGTTTAACTTAAAAAACAGTTCCTGTATCGTTTAAAACTGTCTATATTTAAATAATAAAAATGCAATTAATGCCATTTTTTAACTTGACAAAAAAGTTCGTTCATTATTTAAATAGTTATTTATTTAAAATTTTCTAATAAAAAATATCGTATAAAATAATAATTATAAATATTTATTTAAATAATAAAAATATCGCGTTGTTCGAAAAGTAATTTCCTTTTCACTACTTTTTTATGCAATTGGAAGAAGATTTTCTTGTAGTGAGTAAATATTTAACTGAATTATACGTTGTCCATTCTGGTCCAATACCTTTTGCTATCTTTCTGGCTGTAGCATGATTTTTTTGGTCCTTTTCTGGCAAAAAACTTTTTGTTCTCCTTTGATTCCTCGTTTTTACATTTTGATCGTTGAACATTGCTGTAAACACTTCTCGTCCCCAGTAATGATGCGCTTTAAAACATGCATAATTTTCTTGACATTTGAGAAGCGAATCACACATGTCAACGCGGCCGCACAAATTTCGTAAGAGATGAGGAATCCATATGTCGAGATTTTATTTTATTTTAAAACCGACGTTAAGCAGCCGATCCAAATCTGAGTCTATGACTATCAATGTTCAGCTCTGTAGCCTTGTTATTGTGAACCTAGCCCAGAAGAAAAGGAAATTCCTAGATCAAGCATTGGGACTTTTGATGGACTAACCGGCATTTGTGTTGCATGGAGAGGAAAACCTCGAAAACTTCCCATGGTTAGCTCAACTAAACCACACTAAAACAAAAATATTTATTGAAAATATAAAAACAAACAACCGTATAAGAATGTTTTTCAAAAATGTTGAATCGTGTTGATATAATTTAGTCAGATAAAAATCAATGGAGAATCTGAAATATGAGAATCTGAAATATGAGAATCAATGGAGAATCTAAATCCATATTTTGTAAATGCTAATTGGGTAACGACCTTGAACTTTATCTGCTTCGACGGATATTGCCGAGCAAAATAAATATACTGGACCAGTTTATTTTATTTTATAACATTTAGCAGATCCAATTTCGAATTTACGACTACCAATGTTCAGCGCAGCAATTTTAACCTTCTTGCAATTTTAAACCCAATCAATAAGACAAGGCAACTCCTGTTGCTGGGAGAAATTCGTCTTCATGTAGGACTTCTTTCATGAAACTAATTCGCATTTGCGTTACATAGAGAGGAAATCTACGAATACCTCTTATTGTTAGCCTAACGGCAAGGAGACTCTAACCGGTGATCCGTCTACCAGTGAGGATATTTTACAATGACACTGTGGTCGGTACAAGCGGGGAGCGGAATTCGTATCAAGTAGCATATGCTAGGATTCAAACCTGCGTCACCTCATTGGGGGGGGGGGTGATGAATCCTCTGAGTCACCGTAGCTCATATTCGAGATATGAGATTAATCCTAACCGTTTCAAATGATCATGAGCTGTCGAATACGATAAATGTAATGATTCAGCAATTTCAGGTGTGGTTATTCAGGTTTCATCAAAGTTCATGGACTATTATATGACAGAGCTGCATAACACAAAAATGTGCAGCATTTCCCAACCATCACAATAGGTGGCACCACTAGATAAATTAATTAAGCCACATTTTAATGTTCGTTTTGCAAAATACAACTCAACCTAACCCTAATGTCATTATCTAACGTAAAACCTAATTCCAATGTCCAGTTAAATGTCACTTTTTCCCCTTTTGAAATCATGCTAGTTGTAACTTATTACAGAACCACACTAGTTGTAAAAGGTTTTATAACCGTAAAGGTGAAAGAGTGTTCTCAACCATAAATTTTGCGGTTAATCGGAGGAACAGACTATTGCTTTTACCGTAATTTCTGAAAGAAAATTAAAACAGTGTTAGTTGATTATACGAGTAAAATCATTTTTAAATTATAATGCATTAAATGTAGACTCAGAAATAGTATACATTTATAGAATAGATGCTGTGATTCATATAAAAAAAATAGTATTTTCTAAGTCTTTTAGGCTTTTCATACAGAATTATGTCGCCGAATAAGTTCAATTTGTAACTAAACTAGACGTTTTTGTTGTACAAAGCAATATTAAAAAAATCAACACTTAACTAAAGATCAAATATAACAGACTAAGAAGGATTCTACGTATTATCATCAGGAAAATAAAGTAAAGTAAATTTTAAAAAGATGAACGGAAAGTCCTCGATTTATGAAACAACCTATGAAAGCGAAAAAATTATTTTGCAATATTTTTCTTGAAAACTGAATTAGGTAAAATTTTTTAAATTTTAACGTAAATTCTTCCTGTTCTATTGCCATAAATGCAATGTGTTTGCAATCGAAATTTCTGACCTGTATATTAAAATCCATAAGTGATCCATTAAAAAATGGTTCGACTAAACACATTATTAATGTTGCAGTAATTTAGTTGTATGATATTTCATTTGAAATTGCTGACATCATTATTAAAATTATGAACTTTAAAAAAAAAACAAAATTAAAAGAAGCAAAGTCATGTATTTGTTGAAGTAAACTATATAGAGATATTTTTTTCTCTCTCAAATTATGAGTATTTTTAAAAAACAAACAAACTAAGCTTTCTTCATATTTGTTCAAAATAGCTACTTAGATTTTAAGTCATTAATTTTTTAAAACCCTTGAATTATTTTTTTAATTATGTAAATCTTGCGTGTATATTTCTTCGCCAACATGTTGTACATAAAAGTTTTCTATCTAAGTGAAAATACGCGACCAAAAATGTCGCCCACAAAGTCATTTGCATTTCTTTACGTCAATCATAAACTTGTCCAAAGAATTGCAGTGAACTTGAAATCTTTTTTGACTCGAAAGGTGAAAAATGAATAATTTTGTTACGCTCTGCAGATTGTACGGCTTTTGTAGGGGTGAGGTTAGAATTACGAACCAAAACAGCTAGAAATTTCAGGAAAGAATCATCTCATTTGGCATTCAAACTTATCCAATTACAGCTTCGTCTCATTTTCTGTAAGATTCGCTTCAAGCTAAAAAGAATTGTTTTTAGGTGAGACTTATTTAAATCTCTAATACTTTTCTTTTCTGAAAATAATGCATTCAAATAAATTAACTTATATAATATTTTATTGCGCTTATGAAAAACATAATGTATTTATAAAAATTAATTTTAGCACAGTGTTTTGTGTATTGAATGTACTTGCAAAATTATTTTTTGTGTTATGTATTTTCGACTGGACTTTCACAATTTAGTTTAAGAGTAACTGGTTTTAAATTAATTTGTTAAGATTAGTTTTTTACGATTAATTAATGTGATTTAAAAATTGTTATTCAAACTTAAGATTTTCTGATTAATTGATAGTTTTCATTGAAAAATTGTTTCGATAATAATTATATAAAGAAAATACACTTTTATGTGATATTCAAGTAAAAGTGCATATAAGAAGATTTATGAATACTATAGTTTTGAAAAATAATTTATTAATATGAAATAATATTAATTGTATTGATGATGCATCGAAATTACATAAATTGAAATTAAAAAAATTGAGAAAAATACTGGTTGCAGTGAGCTTTTTATTTTGAACATAATTCGAAATGCGTGTTAAAAAAGACTCGACTCAAAAAGTTGCGTAAATAATGGACACACAAATCGCCTCAACCGAAATTTAACAACTAAACGAGGCAATTGGTGCATATTTTTCTTTACCATTTTAAACGCAAAACATAATGATTACGGGGCTAATTCTAGAAGCTCGGGGTAGGAGAGGCTGAGTATTTTACACATAGAATTAAAAAAGTAGCATACTTAAAATTCGATTTCTCAGAAACTATTCAACCGATTTTGCTCACATTTCGCATTTTGCCATGAAAAATTACGTACTTTAAAATGATATAAGGAGTTGTATATCTCATAATTTAAAATTTTACTATAACACACATATATATAATACAAAATAAATACACACATATATTTTGTATTTTATAATTTATAATATATAATAAATAATATTAACATTATGGAGTCCAAACTTTGGATTGCTTTCCTCATCAAACTATGGGAACCATATTTCCCAGATTACGGCTACCCCCTATATTTTAAGAAGTTAGAAATTGGAATCAGTTGAAAAAAAGGTACGTTTATCCAGAGAAAGTGCGTTTTTGTGTCTGATTTCATATCTTAAAATATCGTCTACTCTAATTAATTAGTATTTGAGGTTACCTTCTCGAGCCATTAAGATTCAGTCCCAAAATGCGAAGATCCAATTATTCCATCAAAAATTATTATGGGTGGTCTGTTGTTTTTGGCGCACTGATACAGTTACTGCTGCATTTCAGGTGATTTTTCGTTTTCAGAATGCTAAACGATTGAGTGTTTTTGCAGAATTCAGTGTTTGTACAACGTCAATTTGATACCTCTATTATAAATTTTTTGGACCTGTTACAACTTTTGATTTTTGAAGTCTTTAAAAATAATATTGATTTAAAAATATATTCTAGGTGATTTAGGCGAATTGGAGACATTACATTACGAATTCCTCTGGATTCCTTAGTTTATTCTTTAAAAAAAGGGAACAATTTTCATAAAAAAAAACTTTAAAAAATTAATAAAATTATGCGTCTATTTTCTTAAATAATTATATACGTTTTATTAAATATGATTTTTAAACTGTGTCCATTTCTCTAAACAACAATTTGAGCTGTGGACCATTATTTTCTCTATTTAGTGTTTTTCATATTTGCTTATAGGGCTAATTCTAGAATTTTTATCAGATTTGCTAATAAACTAAATTGCAAGCTTTAAGTACATTTTTGTGCCATTAAAAATGCTAAAAAATGAAAAATACTAAAGTACATTCTGTCGCAGTTGAAGCAAATTCGCTGTCACTGAGTTTTTTTTTCCACTTTTATATTGCATTACAATATTCAGTTGTATTGAATTTACAGTTTACGAAAGCTTGTTTCATCCAAATTTGAGTCAATTTAAAAAGCTCTGTATTTTTATCAGTTCTAGGAATTGCAGAATAAATAGTGTGAAAAAAAAAACGCACCACCCTGAACGACTTTTGATCTAATGATTGGATCTTCCCGTTCTAAGACTCAAGCTAAATGGTTTCAAGGGTTGACCTCAAATATGCTAATTAGTTAGTGCAGACGATATTTTAAGTTACGAAATCAGACATAAAAACGTACTTTATGACAATAAATTAATAAAGGAATAATTTTTTCGACGGATTTGGATTTCTGACCCTCAAAATGTAGGTGGTAGCCGTAATCTGGGGAATATGGTTACAATAGTTTGGTTAGGAAAGCGGTATAAAGTTTGGGCCCTTTAATGATAATATCACTTTTTGCACGCAATTGTAAAATTCGTTTATCCAAAGAGAATTCTACATAAAAAAAAACTTTTAGTAAATATTTGCTATTTTTTATTATTTAGCAATAGTCGAAAACATTTTGAATTGTAAGGTATCAAAATTTTTACATAATTTTTAAGTATCTAATTTTACATGGCAAAATACAAAATTTGAGCGAAATTGTTCACATAGTTCCTGAATTTTAAGAATATCGTCTATTTAAAATTCGATTTCGCAGTGATTGGCATGCATTTTCTGTTACAAATTGTTAATATTTTTTGGATCATTTGACTATGTTTTACACAAAACTACGTTGAGTTTTTCGCAACGTTGTATTGTCAGGGAAACAACATTGTTACAAAATGTTAAAAAAAATAGAACAGACGAAATCTTGAGAGAAAAATTAAATATCTAATTAAATTTTATAGTTTAAATGTTGGAGTTAAAATGCGTTCTAGAAACAAATACGCAGCTATGCGTATCAAAAGTTAAGGAAATACTACAATTAATCGTTACAGATAATTTTAAACGTAAATATGGTTATTTTAATTCGTTCATATAATTTCGAGCATTATAATTTCAAGACGTTTAAATTTAATTAAACTCTAATAATAAACCCTTTTGCTACCAAATATTAATAACAGTTATTACTTTTAATTTATAAAAATGTTTTCAAACAAAATTTTTTAACTTTCTAACTAAATATTCGCATTCTTTAAGAGAAAATACCATAAAATTCATAAAAATTATCAAAAAATTTTAATGGTAAAAGGTTGAAAACCAACAAGAAGTCACTGTTTATACGTAAAACCAAATATTTGTGTTCTCACATTTAAGACAGCGTTTATAAATTAAATTTTATTAATAAAAGCTTTCTTTATATGCATAAGTTCAAAATGTAGAGAAAACATGGAAAAAATTACAGAGCAATGAAAAAAAAAAAGGGGGGAGGAAGGAAAAATAGTAATAAATTTTTTTTCTTAATTCCCCTTTTGCTTTAGAATGCACTAGTGACTGTTTTAGATTTGTGCATTCCATATTTTAAGTTACGAAATCAGACACAATGATGTACTTTCTCTGTATAAACATAACAATAAAACAAAAATAATAAACGTTTACTAAAGATTATTTTGTACATGGAATTTCCTTGGGATAAGCGAATTTATATAATTGAGCACAAAACATCTGCTAAACTATCTCAAACCTCCCGTTAGATTTCTTTTTTACGATTTTGAAATCATGGAAGTTGTAAGAGGTTAAAAAGCTGTATAACTTTGTACTCGTGGTTTTATAACTATACTAGTTACAAACGATGTACGAAACAAAAGGAGAAAAATGTTCTTTAACGTGAGCTTTTTACGGTTAATTGGATGGACACACTGCTGCTGATTATCATACCATAATTTTAGGAAGAAAATTCTTACAGTAGAAGATCTAATGTCTTATTCACGGATTATACAAACTCCTCAAAATCTTATCCGGCACCATTATTTTAGATTAAAATTAATATATCAGTGAATAAGGCAAAACCGTGTGAATTTCGAAAAATAAGTGAACAGAAATGGACAAGGACATACTATAGTTTCGGTTCTATTAAAAAGAATGCTCTTGTTCATAGAATTGAACCATAAAAGTTGGCATAACTCCATGCAATAGTAATGAAGAAGGCTAGATTAAAAACAAAACCCGTATCCAGACAATTTTCGAGAAGCGTTTAAAGGCCCTTATTAGGAACACCATTAACTTTCACACATCAATCAAACTGCTTTTGGTGTTTTAAATACTGTTTCTGTCAGACAGATTTCATTAGATTTCAATATCGTTTTTTATTTCGCCCCACTTACATTATTCTGTGAAGTCCAAGGTGCATACTTTTTGAAAAGAATTCTAAAAATATGCATCAAAGTCAGTGACTGTATAATACCCTTCACACAAAAGTTTAACCTGAATTGGGAGTGAGGCTTGCCGTTCTTTACTAGTACGCTAAATACAATTATTTGAATTAAAGCAAAAATATTTAGGATGTTTCGTTGATTTCGAACTTATTCATCATTCTCTGCTATACTGTAAAAATATATATCACAATCAGATTAATACCAATAACTGTACAAAAAGTGATCAAGACACTGGCCGCAGAAATAAATTTTTGTCGGTAAAGCTATAATGACCACAAAAACACATTTCTGACCGTAAATTATTTCTCAGAAACTCTACGAACGCTGAACGTAAATTGACATTATATTTGTAAAAGCTTCGATAGCTCAAAGCTCGGACGCTTTGTTTGTCAAATCTAGGAGATGCGTGGAACTAGACAATGTAGTGTAGAGCTATCATCAGCAGATGAGTGAAAAAATTGCGTGTTTGTTTTCCATGGTCACCAATGTGGAGGAAGTCCAAGAGTGATGTTGGCTAGGATAGTATCCGGAACCTTTGTGTCCTGAGCCAGATACTGTAACCATCAAAGAAAAGAGTATGCGAACTCAAATCGAATGCTGGCCGTTTGATTTAAACGTTAAATTTGCTACTTTTACCGAAGTTCGTTACAATTACAGGAACTGGACTTTTTTTTCTCAAAGGAGAGAGCTGGCCGTTTAATGCTACGGCCAATTTTACTGATTTCGTATAGGTTCCTTATAATTAAAGGCACTGGACTCTTTTTTTTTCAACGAAGGGAATCAGCCGTATAAATTAAAGGCCGATTCTCAGAATTTTACGGAAATTTCTCAGATTGTATTTTTAGAATCTGACGTGGATGAAAATCTCGAGTGAATAAAATTTTTCGTGAATCGAAACCAGCTAAATGGAAATACACGACGGTGATAAAAAATACATTGTACAACGCAATACTGTACGTGCTAGACATTTCCCCTAGAATCTAAACGACGTTTCTCTTTCTTTATGTAAATGATGCATATTCCTTATGATGTGCATTTTAAATTTAGACTACATGCCTACTTTTATTGAATTAACATACTTCAATGAAACAAATTTTTTCTCATCATTTTATGAAAAAACAGGAAGCTTATACCATTTGCATTTATTATTTTATTTTTGTATACATATTTTCAATTGAAAACGCTTCTTAGATAAATTGCAAAGAAATTGTAAATTCGTAATTATATGCGCCACAGAGTGCGAAGGTGTTTCCTGAAGAAAGCATTTCCGACGGAATTTTATTCTTACGAGATTTTAAAGGGGAAAAAATGCGTTTAACTTCACGCTAGCGTGAAAGAAAAAAAAATGGAACCAAACAAAATAAATAATTTATTAATTTTTAGATCTGGAGTATGTATTACGATTCAGAGCAAGGGTGGTGCACTAAATTTATGAATTATGCAGACGTTATAAATGTTTATAATGAGGGCTAGAAATTTGATGATAAATGAATTTTTTTGTTGCATTTTTGCATATTTGGTTGCTGTTTTTTTCCTTTATGGGGCATTATTCCTAGTTTTCTTGGCTATCTTTTTTATTCTCTTTCTTTTTTTAATATTTTTTCGTGAATTTTGAATGATATTTTTCATTTTTAGCGCTTTTTTTAGTGAATTATTTACTTTTCTTCATAAGTTAGTATAAAGTTTTACATTGAATCTTGTTATTTAAAATATCTTTCCAAAACACGTATTGTTGTCGAACAATGTTTTTCAAATTATAGAAAAATTTGCTTTTGAACAATAGAGAATCTTTTTGAAAAATATAAAGGAAAAAAAACTACAATAAAATTCTGATGTTCTTGAAAATTGATACTAAAGCTTAATAATTTCGTATTCATCTTTATCTGATATTTATTTACATTTAGTATTAATTATAATTATATATTGATTTAAACTATTATCTTATTTTTTACTAAATTTATACGTACAAATTACTGTTTACATATTTTATTTTTATGAGCAACAGTTAATGTAAAACATATTTTCAAAAATTTTTAAGGACCTTACTTTTAATTAAGATAATTTTTAACGTTATTTTTTTAAAGGTTTTTCGCATTTTTCAGAGAATTCTTGAAGAAGTTTTAAGTCCTCAACATCCTAGATTTGTTTATAGTAAGTAGCTCTGGGAGTAAAAAATTATTAACACTGGAGTAAAAATGCTTACGAGCTGAAATATAACATATAGTAACAATAAACATTATGTTTAACATGTTTTTCTTTTTACAAATAAAGATTAACGTGCTTTATTTTTAACTGCAATAGTAGTATACAGCTGTATCATAAAATTTGCGTAACATCGTTTGGATAATCGCTGCAATAATTAAACTTAAATGTCATAACCATAAATATGCCGCAAACTTAATATGACATTATTATATTCTTTCAGTGTTTCTGCTGAATATTTTTAAATTAACACTGTAACACGGTATTGCTACAATGCTAAAGCACGTTTGATTGTATGGTTTAGAAATGTTGTGCGTGTTGATCATAAGATCATTCAGATTTGCAGTCAATACGTATTCAAATGAAACATATTATTGCACTTCTTGAACTTGGTAACGTGTTACTTTATTTCAATTTAAACTTAAATATAGTTCAATCAAATAGTAAGGTTGCAGCAGCTCTGTTCGATATTATGTTTCAAGTTACCTGTATTATGGTTCAGGGTCGAACCATAATATTGAACTTAGTTACGTGATACTATAAATCAACTGGAACTAAAATATAGTTCAATCTAATACTAGGTTGCAGCCACTTTTCTCAATATTTTGTTTCAAGGTATCAAGATACCAATATTATAGTTCAGGGTTGGATCATATTATTGAATTTGGTTAAGTGAACTACTCAACTAGAATTGAAATGTAGTTCAATATAACACCAAGGTAGCAGCTAATTTGCTCCGATATTAGGTTTAAAGGTATCAAGGTACCAATAGTATGATTCAGCATTAAATCACATTATTTAACTTGGTTGCGTGATAAATTGTTTTAACTTGAACTAAAATATAGTTCAATCTAACTCTAAGGTTGCAGCCACTTTGCTCGATACTATGTTTAAAGATGCCACCATACCAACATTATGGTTCAGAACCAAACCATATTATTTAAATTGGTTACGTGATACTATTCTTCAATTTTGAACTAAAATGTAGTTCAATCTAACTCTAAGGTTGCAGCCACTTTTCTCGATATTATGTTTAAAGATATCACGGTACCAGCATTATGGCTCAGAATTTAACCATATTATTCAAATTGTTTACGTGATACTATTCTTCAACTTTGAACTAAAATATAGTTCAATCTAGTTGCAGCCACTTTGCTCAATATTATGTTTAAAGATATCACAGTACCAACATTATGGTTCCAACTTGAACCATATTATTCAAATTGGTTACGTAATACTATTTTTCAATTTGAAGTAGAATAAAGTTCAATCTTACTCTAAGGTTGCAGCCACTTTGCACGATATTATGTTTAAAGATATCATGGTACCAGCATTATGGTTCAGAATTGAGCCATATTATTTAAATTAATTACGTGATATTATAATTCGACTTGAACTAAAATATAATCCAATCTAATACTAAGGTTTCAACAACTTTTCTTAGTATTATATTTCAAGGTACCAATATCATGGTTTAACTTTTGAGGGACTCTCTGAGAGTTTATAAATCTCATACTGCTGAAGCTTATGCTTTTCAAGTACATTTTTTACAAACTCTTTTTGAAATTTATTTTTCAGATTAGCAACAGCTCTCTACGATGGTTGATTTGCACATTAAAGTTTTGCAACTGTGGATAATTGGTGTCACTTGTGTAATGACTCAGGGATTGGAGCATTCGAATGTAACGCCCGACAACGCAAGCAAATTCAAATTGACAACAATACCTGATCTCTTGTCCAAAGATAAACAGAGCAAGGAAGTGGACAAAAGTGTCGCGAGTGATTCCAATTCTGAAAGTCTGTCGGGGGAAATAGATTCAGCTGTCCAACATGAAATCATGGTCAACTATCCAAGTTCGACTCAAACTCAAGTATCCAGCTACCGTATACCACGAGAACATATTCCAAGATCTAATTCTTTTGTTTACCCGAAAAAGAAGAGCAGGAAGATTCGCCCTGGTCAATATGTCAGTAAGTCTTGATTTATATTTTTTGAAATTAAATTAGAGAAGAGAACCTCTGTATCAACCATAATTTATAGTATTTGTCCTCCCGAAAAGTTTGAAGTGTAAAGTATTAAAATTGTGGCATTAAATTTCATAAATATAATTTTGTTCCACTGTCGTATAAACAATTTGCAAATTTCATCCATTTTGTACTTTTTAGATTTTCTAGTCTGTTTGAATTTTTATCTCCAACTAAGAATTGAAGTATTCCCCCCTCTTAATATTTAAATGACTATAGTACGAGTATATTATCTTAATAATATAGAGAAGGAATAGAACATCCCAAGAAATAAGAGGCAGAGATGCTCCGGACAGCTAGTTTTTTAAATGGTAGTCTTTTAATGTATGATCCATGGTTTTTCATTTTATATTATTTTATAACAGACGTAAAACAGCCAATTCAAATTTGAGTTTATGATTACCAATGTTCAACGCAGTAGTCTTGTAATTTCGAACTCAATATAGAAGAAAAGGGAACTCCTGGATCAAGTAATGGGTGAAGCGTGCCTTTCGTGGAGGACTTTTAGAGGGGACTAACCCGTATTTGGGTTGTATTTGGGTTGAGAGGAAAGCAACAAAAATCTTCCTCGGCAAGCCTGACGGCAAGGTGACTCTAATTGAGGATTCGCCAACCACTGAGATTATTTATCGTCAGCATTGTGGTCGGTGCGAAATTCGTATTGGTCAGCCATCGCTGGGATTCAAGCTTGGGTCGCCTCATTGGGAGGTGAGCGCTCTATTCCCTGAGCCACCACGGCTCACGATTCTTAGATTAAATTCGATTTGTAGGGTTTTTACTCATCACTGTATCTAAATAATTCAAAGACGTGGTAAGTCACTTTGTTACAGTTAAGCCTTTATAAAAAATGGCAAAATTAGCCGAAAATCTGCAAATTTTAGCTTGTAGTTATCTATGGTTTTTTTTAAAAAATGTTTTGTCGAATCCAGATCTCTGAGGAAGACGAGACTTGTCCTGATAAAAGATAACAATTTTTTAAGTTTGAATTCTTTGTTCAATTGCCGTCTTTAGCTTCTTTGATTGGGAGAAATATTTATTTGAATTCTATGTTTCAGAATATGTACTTTATCATTATGTATCATTTGCTTTTATGCATTCAAATTTATTCAGACCTGTCCATACAGTACTATAAACAATTTTTACGGGCAAAATTGTGCAAAATTTAATTACATAATAATTACATAATAATCATTTAAATGGAACTTAATAAAACTCATGTTTTTGCTAATTCAAGTTTAGTTTAATGATTGCATTTGGAATTTAATTATTATTTTTAGAGTGATATTTTTAAATTTTAATTGGAAATAAAATGATAAAAATAGCATTATGAATTAAATCATACAAATATATAAAAGCAATTTTATTAACTTTATAACATAAAAAAAGAACTAAATAATTATGGTTTTAAAGATTATGTATTTTTAAATGATTATTTTGTATTTTATTCCAGAAAACGTTTCAAATTATTTCCGATTACTGTTTTTATTTTACTTCATTTATGCATTAATAATCCTTTTTCATTAACTCTAAAAGTTTAGAGTACTGATTCAAATTTGTGAAATAGCTTATACAATGTGTAAAAATTACAATTTCGATTCTAGGTAAAGGTCAAACGAGTGGTAAAAACAAGAATAGGAAATCATGGTCAGATTACATTAAAAGCGCTATTGACTCAAGTGACTCAAACGTTGCTTGGAGTTACTGGGAGTATGAAGACGAAGTAAGATTGGTTTAAACAATATCTTCACTTTATATATGTAAAGGTGTACTAACATTTTAAAAGAAATAAACATGTAAATAAATAATGAATAAATAAATGAGTAAAAAGTAGATAAAGATGCCACCATACCAACATTATGGTTCAGAACCAAACCATATTATTTAAATTGGTTACGTGATACTATTCTTCAATTTTGAACTAAAATGTAGTTCAATCTAACTCTNTAATTTATTAATTAATTAATAAACAATAATTAATTGATTAACTACTTAATGTATGTAAAGGTGTACTAACATTTTAAAAGAAATAAATATGTAAATAAATAATCAAATTTATAAAATAAATAAGTAAATAATGAATAAATAAATGAGTAAAAAGTAGATAAATTAATGAAATAAATAAATAAATAAATTAATAAAATAAACAATTATTTAACTAATAAATAAATTACTTAATTAATAATTAATAATTTATTAATTAATTAATAAACAATAATTAATTGATTAACTACTTAATGTATGTGAAGGTGTACTAACATTTTAAAATAAATATATAAGTAAATAAATAATTAAATTTATAAAATAAATAAATAAATGAATAAACAAATTAATTAATAAATAAAATAAAAATTAAATTAATTAATTAACTTATTAATTAATTAATTAAATTAATAAACAAATGAATTAATAAATAAAATAAAAAATTAAATTAATTAATTAACTTATTAATTAATTAATTAAATTAATAACAAATGAATTAATAAATAAATAAATAAATGCGAATAGGAGAAAAATATAACGATCTTTTGAAGAATTGCTTTTTTTCTTTTTTGGGTACATCACTTACTTTGGATACATCACTTATATTATTTTTAATCTACTGATTGCGAATAAAAAACAAAACCAAATAATGTTTAATGTTACCGGATTAAAAACTTCATCATTAAATCTTACCTCTTCTGTTTTTTGGAATTATTTATTTATGTTTTATATCAAATGTAAAGCTTTTGAAGATGAGCTATTATCTATAAAAATAAATTTTAAGTAAAAATTTCAAAAGTTTATGTTAATTAAAAAGCTCACTGAGCTTCTAAAAAGGATTTATTGTTGTTATTTTTTAAAGGATTATAAAAGATTTTAAAGGATTAATATTAGAGCTTTAATTTCAGGAACCAGATGATGCTGATGATAGCAAAATGACCACAAAAACAAAAGCAGCAGCAACAACAACACCATCAACAACGACGACTACAACGACAACTACATCCACAACCGCGGCACCAACAACAACAACAACAGCAAAAGACAAAACTACATCATCCGTTACCGTACACAAGCACTTTCACTATTTTAAGAAACCATCACCATGGGCTGGGGATCCATGGAAAGGCGATAAAGCCATGGCTACATCGGCTCCATCACCACCTCCCATGCCCATGGAAGAAATGATGAAAATGACCGATGATATGATGGAAGAGATGATGATGAAAGGAATGATGATGATTCCTTCTCACGATGATCAGGATAAGAAGAAGGGAGGGATTTCTGGCATATTCGATAAATTGTCAAAAGTGGAACCCATCACTATTTTGGTGGCTGGAATTATTCCAGCTAGTTTAATTTTAGCCGCAGCTTTGCCATCTGTTATGAGCAAGATGATGCCCGTGAAAGGGGATACTAGCATGCCAATGATGCCCACGATTATGACCACAGCAGTGGGCAGTGACGGTGGTATGGATATGACGGGATCGCGTTCTAATATGGGAGCTGATTCCTTGTCGTCGATTCTCGAAGCAGTTGGCGATTTTGGTTTAAAAGCGCTAGAAAAACCTCACTGTGCCCGGATGATGTTCTGTAGACTGGCTGCTGAAAATTTGATTGCAGAATCTCCCATCATGCAAAGAGCTGTACACTTGGCTACAGTAGCGTAAGTATTTAGCATTTTTCAACAACTAAATTTTGAGCTGTGATGGCTCAAGTGATAGAGCATTTAACTTCCCACTTAAATGATCCACTTGAATTCTGATAATGGCCGATCGATACTCCCAGCTTGTACTGACCATAGTGTTGACGTAAAATACCCTCAGTTGTAGACAAATGGTGGGTGAGGACAGCGGTTGTCCTTACCTAAGTTTTCGTGGAAGAATTAAAAGGGTTCCAAGAGTTAGGATCTTTTTAAAATCCGTAATAATTTTGGTTTTTTTAAAATTATATTTAAATTGAATCAATATGCCCTTATTTATTTAATATTTTGGTTGCCTTTATAAAGTTATTCAGAAGGAAATTCCAATTTAAAAAAATGGCATTTTATAAGAAAAATATATAAAGAATTTTAACAACAATATATTGAAAAAATTGTGAAAAAACATACATTCTAAAAAATGCATTCGTATTTCTTACATGGCTTTTCATATCAAAATAAAGTATTGAAATTCGTTAATAAATAAATATATTTCCCTAATAACCATTTTCAACGTTTATAACAGTTTTTTTAATTTTTCATTTCAAGGAAAACTCTAATTCTGTCCATTTTGTTCTCTTTCAGTTTATCTTTTTACACCGAATATAAATTCAGTACTGGACTAGACAAAGCTCCATGACATAAAATATCTATATATACATATGAAATAATTTATGATTCTATTTGAAGAAAACGCAAGTCATTTCCATAGACGAGGCTCGAGTTAGCTTCTTTTAAGTTTTATTCAGCATCTGATGATAAATTCTTAAGGAATAGGGTTTCTCATCCGGGACTTGGGATTTGGACATTCTGGACGTAGTTTTGCTAGCAGTTACATCATGAAAAATGACGCATATTTAAAGGTTCCTGCTATTTAAAGAGGGATTCTGAAAGGGAAGTGATTGCAGGAATATCCTTAATTTAATCACACTTCATTTAAACTGGAAAAGTTAGAGATTTTGATATGTTCCAACACATGACGCTGTTCAGATGATAGGGAATGTTTAAAATTTTTTTAAGGAATATTTTTCTAATAATTATTGCCCGTTAACTTCAGAAAATAATCTTTTATTGGCATCTTGACTTTTTATGGCTCTTTGTGATAGAACGATTTCTACGTCTTAAAATTAGTAAGAGAAATCTATTTTAAGCTTAAGGTTTTATATAGAAAGACTCGTATGAGGCATTCTATATTATATATATTTATATGATCCAAGAATAAGTCAAGCGGAATTTCTTGAAAACAGAAATATCTTTTGTCACTTGTGATTGCTGTAGTCAGCCTGATAATTTCAAGACCAATCTTCATTTTTAGGTGGACATCGACCTGGGTGATCCTGATGTTGAGAAAGCAGCTCTTAAAATCCAACACACGTTTAGGGGATACAAATCTCGCAACGTCCCTCAAGAATAGATTGGAGAAAAGAAGAAGAAAAAAAAGGTGTAATGCATTCTATTTTAACTATTATTATAGAATATTAGCTTCTCATCGTCAATCAAAATCAATGGATATTTTCTTCTTCTTTCTAACTAGGAATAATCTTAACAAGAGGATAAAATCGATTCATAATTAAAAAATGTGATATTAACCCCTTTAATTCCCCATGGTGGGATTTCGCACATTATAATACGATGTGAGAGAAAAATGTCTGCTTATTTTGTTTTACATATTTNATATATATATGAGAGAGTGAGAACACTGATTACTAAATGTACTGTTAAAATTTCTTTTCTCCTTATAGAATGGAAGATTCTTGGTTGCAGTATATGGGAGTTCAAAGTCTATTAAAGTCTCTAAACGATGGTACTTGTAATCAGGCAGATTGTGATCCAGAGTTTATAGCTAGTAATTTAGTCGCTACCTGATCAAAAATCTTCTCCAATTTTCAGCTGTTCTTGAATGACTTATGTGTTTTTTTTTGGCCAAATTTCCTACTATATAATATCAGCTACATTCATTTTATTTATATTTAAGAAATACATGTTGTCATTTTCATTATGTTTTGTAATGTGTAATTTTGTATTATAAGCAGTACTGATTAATAAAACTGCTTATAAATATCGTTTGATTTCATAGCTATGCAAAGAGCGTTGAATTGTAAGCAGAAACCGCAGTTTCTCTCCGGGAATAATGATTTTAAACAATATAAATATACCGACAAAAGTGGCATGGTTTTCTTTTATTTATATGTTGAAATATTTTCACGCATTTTAAATGACTAAATTGAAGAACATAGATAGGAGCTCTCTACTTACTGTTCAGGGAATTTTCTAATTACTTTCACAAGTTTGTTGCTTAGCAACCACGGGAAAAAATTTGCTATTGAAAGGGAAAATCAAAGAATTAGTACAACTCATCTCCGTTGCTAGGCAACAAAGAGAAAGTTGATCAGAAATTTCATATTTTTTGATGAAACTTTCCAAGAATACGCAGAATGCTTTCCAGTTGCTGAAAACACTACTGGCATTTTAATTTTTGACACTTTTTGTAACACTTCAATTTGTTTAGGCGAATCAGCTTTTGATTATTTTTAAAGTTAGGCAAATAATTACAGTGCTTTGTTGATTGAATGAATTCTTTTTGTTTACTGTTTGAGTAAAGTTTTGTTTAATCAGCCAATATTGTTATCTCAAAGTATGTTAAATTTCAAAACCTTTTTGAAATTTTCTCTTAAAATTTTATTTTCAATAAATTTTAAATTAAATAAATATTTCAAATGCTTAATTTTCTGTTAATAGTCTTTAAAACAAAGTTGCTTAAAAAACCGCTTTATTTATTCAAAATTAGTTCAATTTATTTTCAGAAATGTCGCTGCAGTTGTTGAAACATCCAAACAGCTTAATTCGGATGCATGTTTTTGGTGTTTTTTGTTTTAAAAAAGAATTGACACTCATAATTGTTTTAAGATAGTTTCAGTACAATAGTATATAAGTTTGTCGCAACTTAAAATAATAAGTATTCTGTATTAAGCTGAGTTACGTTTAGGGTTCGTTAATTTTATCAGAAAAAAGCAAGGATACTTGACCTAGTTCGTATTAGATCATCAAGGATGAAATATGCGAAGAGAAAAAAGAAACTACTCCCTGAGAAACTACTGAGAAAAAAATTATGGTCAAAACAACTGGAATATGGTAAAATGTATCGTATTAATGACTCTATAGTAACACCAAAAAGCATGGTAATTTTTGTTACCAAAGTGCTTGAGTAATGATTTCAGTAAAATTAACAATAAAATATGACTTTACAGTATGTGATAACACTTGGTAAATGTTGTAAAATTGGGCTTAATTCTACCATGATACCTTAGATCATGGAATAAATTTGATTTATTCGGTAAAATTTACTTTTCAGTTTAGTATTCATTGCTAAATGTGTCGTAATAAGAATTATAATTTTGAAAACCAGAATTTCATGGAATCATGGAATAAATTTGATTTATTCGGTAAAATTTACTTTTCAGTTTAGTATTCATTGCTAAATGTGTCATAATAAGAATTATAATTTTGAAAACCAGAATTTCTGGCAAACAGCTACCATAGGAACGGAAAAATTAACAAATGGATTTTTTACGTAGCGTGTATTTTGGTTTTAATAACCAGAATTATGTTTTTTTTTTGCTAGAAATGACATTACCAAATAGTGCGGTAATTTTACTTGAATTGTTTTCTCCGTGCAGGTAGGTTAGATAGATCAACTTTAACAATTTATTATTTGGCAGTAGTTGCATATTTCACATATTTTTTTTTCTTTTATTGAAAAGTTACATATCTCACCTGTTTAAGGAAAGCATCCATATACCTAAAAAATATGAAAAAACGTTCCTCTTCAATTTTTTTTTGTTGAAAATTCGCACTATTAGGAAAATTAAAACTTACGTCGAATCACGACATCGCAAACCATGACAAGCATAAATAGGGCATTTAGCACTAGTGTTAGTTAGCTTTAGTACTTGTTAGACAATAATTATAATCACTAAATCATACTCAAAAGCGTAGTTATCCCCAGTGCTGACAATGCTCAAACGCTAAGTCCTGGCTCATCGGTTGCAATAAAAATATTACGTAATTAACTAGACGAAATGATGCAGAGAGAATATACCCTAGATTTGTCGATTGATTGTCTTCTGTCTTATTGCGTGGTATTGCCAAGCGTTAATCATTATGGTAAAACTGTAGAAATCTGAGCTCTTTAAACATTCTCTATACTCACTAGACCTAGCTCCCCACTGACTTCAACTTTTTTCAAAACCTGGATATCATTTTATTAGAAAAAACAATTCAATCCCCAAAATGTTGTAAAGCATATTTGCCTAAAACAACCAGCCACTTTCATGACAAAAGCATACATATATAGAGAGAGTTCCTTAGATTTGTAACTTATCAACCACCTTTGCGGGACAGGATAGCCTAATTGGTAGGACGCTAGACTCATGTTCGTAAGATCGGGAACTAGAATTCCTCTGGCCGAGGAAACCACTTGTATGAAATGGTGACCAGTTTACGTTAAATCTGTTCGGGTCACAAATTCCTCCAACTTCCCACACCAAATCTGGAGGTACTGAGTTAGAGATTGATCGCTCTATGGTTCACGTCAAAATTATGATCTGCAGATGAATGAATGGATATATGAATGGATCTGCCCTATGAAATGGTCTGTGACATGCGTGTGTGGATAAAATCGTATTCCTACGCATAGATGGCGCCACCGAAAAACAAGAAAAGGCACAAGAAAATGCTTTAAAGTTCGCTTGGTTTCCATAACAGGCTTGCCGGCATTGGAAAGTGGCAACGGAAACAACAACAACCACCTTTGTCATTTTTCTACAAAGTTTATACTTGGTGTAGTAATAATTGAGTTGTTTATTTTGTAAAAATTTATTTCATAAAAAAAAAATGATTTTAAAATTTTTCTTAAATGTTTTCTTAATGATTTGCTTTCGAAAAAAAATATAAAAAGTTAAAAAAAAGAATTAAAGGACAATTACTTGAAGATGTTTAAGAATAATGAACAACTTGTTAAACAAATTAAAGTGAATTCAAATTTTTTTGAAATCAAGGAATTTTGTTAGAAACAAATTAAATTTGTTCAGGCTTAAATACTAGAAAATAGTGTAACGTATTGTTCAGTAATCAAGACATTCCTTTTTTCAAACTTGAGTATTTTTTTTATTATTTTTTATTATGCTCTAATACAATATTTGACATCTAATATAATTGATGCATTTTATTTTGATATAGTCATACGGCTTTGTGCGATAAAGCAGCTGCTTTATTATAAGTTTCTCTCCACTTATGTGCAGGTTTCACTGTTTCATTGAAATTCTAATATTTAAAAAAGCATATTATCCTTATTTATTTTTTCTGCATACTACAATTTAATAACATAAACGTTGGGAGTTCAAAGTCAGCCTAAGAAAATTTATGCTACCTAGCTGTGAGACATAACATTTCTTAAGGCTACATATTTTAAAAAGTTTACTTTTTACAGATTTGGATTAACCCTTTGACGCAAATGGGACACCGGTGTCCCATTTATATACTTTTTTTCTGACTCTCTAATTACAATCAAAAAAATATTTTGGTATTTTTTAACTATGAAAAGTCTTATATTTATTACATTATTATTTATAGTTATTAATTTTATGACATTAAATTATTATTACATTATTATAATAGTTTGCTATATTGTTATTTATAGTTAATAATAATACATAATTATATTCGCACTAAAACATAAAAATCCAGAAAAAGTAGTTTGATATTTTTCTTTCCATTCATATTCAAAGATTTATCAATAATTGATTTTGTAAATTATGGAACTCTCACTGCTTGTCTTAGATCTAATTAACTGCAAATAAGTGCAAATTTGAAAAATTATTGGTTGGAAGTGATCCGTGCTAGAGAGACTTTACCTTTAACGCAATGAAAAACCACTGGTGTTTCATGCCGTATTTCATAACTCTAAATTATTAAAATATTAAATATAATATTTGTTTCACTTAGTTTGACCTAAATAATGCACTAAACAATGAACAAAATGATGAAATAATAATAATAAAAAAAATAATGAAAAAATTATGAAATTCTTTTTTATACAGTATTCTCTCTCTCAAAAAAAATTGACATAAGAAGGTTTTGAGAAGAAAGCCTTCGACATTGGAATTCAAATTAACATTTGGTGGATATATAATGCAAAGGGAAAACATATTTTTTTGACATAACAAAGTTTTCAAGATATCGAGATTATACTGTAATAATTCTGCGTCAAGGAGTTAAGACTTTACAAAGACTAAAGAAAAGTCGCCAAATTAAAGATAATGGCAGCATTGTATGTTTTGCTAACATTAACTAATTTTTAAAAAAAAATTAGATACTTAAGGAGCTCAAAAATTGTCGTAATCTCAATGCGATTATTTATTTTAAAACAGAATTAAAATTCCGCTTTAATTAAAGATTATATTCATACTGACATACCATATTGTATATAACAATATTTACATGCATGAGTAGTTACACTTCAAATTTTTTATTTACAGAGTAAATGTATTATATATTTGCATATATTTGCATATATATTTGCATATATTTGCATCTATAATATATTTGCATAAGTTATTTAAAGACGAATAAAAATTAGATTTCATGAAAATTTATTATTTATGCTTAATAATTAATAAAAAAACAAACAAAATGTTTTAAAATTGTCAAATCCAAAGTTGAAGAATAACTTAAACTTTAGTATTTATGCTCGCATGTGTTTGTATTCAGACAAATAATGAACCACCAGAGCTCAATAATATAAAGCTTTTGAGAAAAGTAAAAAATAACTTTAAGAGACTGAAAAATAGATTTGACATTTAAGTGCATAAAATTTACTAAATTGAAAGTTGAAAAATCACATTTTTAATAGATGAGTTTACATTTTATTCTGATTCCTTAGGACACTACTTAACATTGTTTACGGACACAAGAGCTTAATTTTTATGTAAATTGTGTTACTTTGAAAAGCTCTTTTCTATTTATGTAAGTCTGAGTCTTACTTTACG